CAATTTTTTTGTTGTTGGAGAGCAGTGGCATGCTCACGGCCACCCCACCATCCACCTGCTGGGCTCCGGCAATCTTTCCGCCTCAGCCTTCCAAATAGCCAGAACTTGGTGGTGCACGCCTGGGTAGGTTTTTTCGATTTATTGTGGAGATGAGGTCTCACCATGTTGCCCAGGCTGGTCTCAAACCTGTGGACTCAGGCAATCCTCTCACCTCAGCCTCCCAAAGTGCTGGGATTACAGGTTTGCACTACCATACCCAGCTGATCCAGTCTCTTAAAAAATATGTGTACATAGACCTTTGCCCTACTAGACTCTAGTGTGACCATGTACTCTTTGACCTATGGCCGTCACCACATTTCCTGGCTTTGGACACCTCCCCTACCTTGGGGAGGTGAATCTCCTGTCTCAAAATAAACAATATTGTCTGATCTAAAAAAAAGTATATATAAACACATATATACGTAAATATATTCTCCTAATATATGTAGGAACTGTAAAGAGACGGAAGCAGCTGGTAGAGGGATGTGAAGCTGAAACAATACACGAAAAAAGCCAGGCAGTAGAAGTAGAGACATTACGGGCCACGGCATTTTGAAAGCATAAGAAAGAAAAGAAGCTATTCCATGAAGAAAAGATATACAGAATAAAGGGGATAAATAAGTTAGTTAAAGCAGATGAAGAACTAGTGAGAAAGAGAGTCACCATGAAAAGACAAAGACAGGTTCTCTTTAAGGAAGAAAGAAGACAGGCATCCACTCATCAGAAATAAAGTCTTGTCAAAGACAAATCTTGAAAATTAAAGTGCAATGTGGTGGCAGAAACAAAGATCAGGAGTCAAAACATAATTCTGGTTGTGGCAGGTATACTTTGGGAAAGACACTTAAATTTGACCTCAGGCCAGGCTCAGCCTGTCATCCCAGCACTTTGGGAGGACGAGGTGAGTGGATTACCTGAGTCCGCTGGTTTGAGACCAGCCCGGGCAACTTGGCGAGACCTCGTCTCTACGATAAATTTTAAAATGGTAGCACGCGCCTGTAGTTCAGGCTACTTGGAAGGCTGAGGTGGTAGGATTGCTGGAGCCCATCAGGTCGATGCTGGGGTGACCATGAGTGTGCCACTGCACTCCAGCCTGGGCGACAGAATAAAACTCCAACTCAAAAAAAAAATTGAGCCTCAATGTCTAATATAAAATAGACTAGTAATAATATGTATCAAGAGTTTGGGAGTGATGAAATCTTATCACGATGGCTAAGACGTATTTAAGTGCTCCACAGTTGTTTTTGTTTAACTTTAAAGAGAGTTACCTCAGAATATCTGAAAAGGCTTCTACTCCATACTTGGAAGAAGAGTAGACTCCTCCAATGAAAGCAATTCTTCCCAGGATGCTGGAGACATTGACGATCCTCCCCTGTGCTCTCCTCACCAAGGGAAGCAAGCTCATGGTCACTTCAATCAAGCCAATGAGGTTCACTCTGAAGATTGTCAGGGAGTCCTCAGTCCTCTGGAACTCAGTGCAGGGAACTGGGCACATAACGCCTGCATTGTTGACCAGACCCCAGAGTCCTAAAACAATAAAAGTCAATTCAAGAGTTTGGTTACAGGAAAAAAATTACCTATCTTGAACTTTGGTGCTGGGGAGACAGGAGAAGAATCATAACAACAAATCATGAAAGTACACAACCCAAATTCTTACTATCTGAGTGGTCCAAAAAACCTCAAGCCAAGACTTACGTTTAAGGTGGCCATGGGCTCTGATTGCCTCCAATCAGCAGATAGAAGCAAACATACTCATAAATACTCTCTGGAGGAAGACAGGTGCAATGGTGTGTGCCTGTACTCCCAGCTACTCAAGAGGTTGAGGAGAGAAGATCACTTGGGCCCAAGACTTCCACTACAGACTGGGCAACATAGTAAGATCCCATCTCCAACAACAGCAAAAACATCAAAATAGTCTCTGGAGAAATCTATCCTGGGCCGCAAGGACTCACCAGAGAGTTACTAAGAAAAGAAGAAGCTCTTTGTCACAAATCACTAAACACAGAAGGAAATGGATGCATCAAATGCAAGAACCAGCAGAAGCAGTAAAGAGCAGATAAACACAAAATCTTTAGGTACTAGAATTATAGGACATAAAATATAAAATAAATTTTCCAAATATAATTTTAAAATAAAAGAAAAAATTAAAAGTATGAATAAAGATAAGATACTATAAAATTGGTCAAGCAGATTTGGAAAAAAAATAGAACTTCTAACAATAAAAGGTACAAAATTTGAAATTTTAAAATCTGGTAGACAAGTATAATAGCAGATAGAATGGAAAAGAGAAAGTAGTAAATTGGAAGGCAAAAAAATGAAAATATACAGACTGCAGCATCAAGAAAAAAAGAGACATAAAACATGAAAGAAAAAGGAGGCAAGAGCAAAGTAAAAACATCTAACATATGTCTAATCAGATCCAGAAAGAAAGGAGAGAAGTAAAATAAAGGTAATATTTGTGGCCGGGTGTGATAGCTCATGCCTGAAATCCCAGCTCTTTGGGAGGCCAGGCAGGAAGATTGCTTGAGTCCGGGAGTTCAAGACCAGCATAGGGGCTGGGTATGGTGGCTCATGCTTGGTAATCCTAGCACTTGGGTAAGCCAAGGTGGTAGGATTGCGTGAGGCCAGGAGTTCGAGACCAGCCTAGTAACATAGAGAGACCCTGTCTCTACCAAAAAATAAATGTTTTTTTTATTTTGCCAGGCATGTGGTGCACCTATAGTCCTACCTACTTGGGAAACTGAGGCGGAAAGATCACTTGAACAGAGGAGTTTGATGCTGAGGTGAGCCATAATCGCAGCACTATACTCCAGCCTAGGCAACACAGCAACTTTGGCTCTGCAAAAAAAATTTTTAAATAGCTGGGATATGGTGGCATATACCTGTAGTCCCAGCTACTCAAGAAGCAAAGGCAAGAGGATTGCTTGAGAACAGGAGTTAAAGGTTATAGTAAACTATGATCACACCACGGCACTCTACCCTAGGTAGCAGAGTGAGGCCCCATTCTTAAAAGAGAAAGAGAGAGAGAGAGAGAGAGAGAAACTTTGTCCCCAAACCTTCTAAATTCTAAATTTTAAGGAATATACTCTTTTTTTTTTGGTAAAGACAAGGTCTCACTCTGTTGCCCAGGCTAGTTTCAAACTTCTGGTCTAAAGCATTCCTCACACCTCAGCCTCACTAAGTGCTGGGATTATAGGCGTGAGACAAGAAACCCAGCCAGTAAATCATCTTAAACAAAAACAAAAATTAAAATTCTGCAACCCAAGCAAAAAATTTTATTTTATTTTATTTTATTTTATTTTCTTGAGTTTGTCCATTCACCTATTGAAGGACATCTTGGTTGTTTCACTTTTGGCAATTATAAATAAATTGTCTCCTCTTTTTATTTATTTATTTGGGTGGGAGTCTCACTTCATCATCCAGGCTGGAGTGCAGTGGCATGCTCACGGCCACCCCAGTGTCAATCTGCTGGGCTTCGGTGATCCTTTCACCTCAGCCTTCCCAGTAGCCAGAATTACAGGCGCGTGCTACCACGTCCAGCTCATTTTTTATTTATTGTAGAGATGAGCTCTCGCCAAGTTGCCTGGACTGGTCAGGAAACCGTGGGCTCAGACAATCTACTCGCCTCAGCCTCCCAAAGTGTTGGGATTACAGGCTGAACCGCCGAACCTGGCCAAAAAATTTTTTATTTTCTTTATTATTTTTTTATTTTTTATTTTTGAGTTGAAATCTCACTCCGTCGCCCAGACTGGATGGAGTGCAGTGGCCGCTTCCGGCCACCACAGCCTCGACCTGCTGGGCACCACAGCCTCGATCCTTCCAGCCTCAGCCTTCCAAGTAGCTGGAACTACAGGCGCACGCTACCACGCCCGGCTAATTTTTTTGATTTATTGTAGAGATGAGGTCTCGCCAAGTTGCCCAAGCGGGTCTCGAACCCGAGGGCTCAGGCAATCCACTCACCTCAGTCTCCCAAAGGCACGGGATTACAGGCTGAGCCACCGAGCCCGGCTTCAAAAAATTTTTTTAAGAGACAAGGTCTTGCTGTGTTGCCCAGGTTGCAGTGCAGTGGCTATTCACAGGCCTGATCAAGGCTCACTAAAGCCTTGAACTCCTGGGCTCAAGTGATCCTCCTTACTATCCCTCCTGAGCAGCTGGGACTACGGATATAGCTGTTCATCATGCCTGAACAAGCAAAACAGTTTTCTTGCTGCTTTGCAACTCTTGGGTGAGGAGATATTTAGAAGGTTCCATTACCAGGATCTACTGAATCATAAAACCAGGAGAGAAGGAAAAGAAGGGGATTGAAGAGGAGCCGAATAACATCTAGAGAAAATAAAGTTTAAAAGGAGAAGAGAGCCAGGCATGGCAGCTCAAACCTGTAATCCCAGCACTTTGGGAGGCCGAGGTGAGAGGATTACCTGAGTCCACGGGTTTGAGACCAGCCTGGGCAACTTGGCAAGATCTCATCTGTCGGTGACCTGCACTGACCAAAGGGGGGTTAGGACCGCACCGGTGAATCAGAACG